ATCTGCAGGTATGTGGACTTCACCCACATCTGTCTTGTGGGACAGAGCCCTTCCTTCACCTTGGGGTTTGAACATATTTCCTTGAGTCAGAATGGAGTTAGAATATTGGCTGGTGTTAGGCAATCAGTTACTGTGAGAGAAATACCTATGTTTGCGGCAAAAGTGCATGTGTTCTCATCTGAGTGAAAGTAGAGAAGGAAACCAAGGTTTCTTTCCCCTTTGTTATGGGCTAGCACAATAGGTGTAAACTAGGATTTATTTATGTTCTTTTTTCAAGACGAGATTTCTCTGTGCCTTTGGAGCCTGTCCTGCAACTCACTCTGTAGACCAGGGTGGCCTTGAACTCACAAAGATCTGCCTCCCTCTGCCTCCAGAGTGATGGAATTAAAGGCTTGCCCCACCACTTCCTGGCATATTTTTATGTTCTTTATTGGGTCCACAAGAACTTGAGAGAGTGCCTTAATTTGACACCTTAGCCTTTTTACGACACTGTAGTCCAAATCCACCACTGGTCACAGCAATTACAGTTCTTAACTCAGTGTCTGCTGTCTGTTTTAGTGTGTGTTCCTGTTGCTGCTACTATAACACAGCCATAAGGGCAGAGTCCTTGTCTAGGTTACACATGTGAAAAAAACTTTAAACAATATTAATAGTCACATAGGCATTTCCAGAAGCACACACAGGATATGGTCAGAGGTTTTCCTTCCCTGGAAGACTGGGGGGATAATTGCTAAGGGGAATCTGGTGTGGGAAGGATACTTACTCTGAAATGCACACCTTTTGCTTTTTCGTCACTATATTCTTACTCTGCCTATACATTATGGTTTGAATTATTCAAAGTGCTCCATGGGATGTGAGTCTCCAAAAAAACTAGATTTTTCATCTACAGTGAAATTTTTAAAAATTTATTTTGTTTTGAGAGAGGTTCTTGGTGTATGTTTTGTTTTGAGGAGATGAGTGTGCATTACCAAGGCTAGCTGGATATGATATTTATAAAACCCCTTTTCCTGTTATTCTAGAGAAAGGTTGGAAAGATGATCCCACTTTGTTTCAAACTGTGTCATAAGGACTAAAACCCTCATATCTAGTCATATATATATATATATATATATATATATATATATATGAAATGAGCTATTTACAATTAAATGCTATTTTCTAAGAATTCCTTGATTTGCCTATTACAAGTGATTTTATTGACATCCTTTTGATAATGCCATACATTTCTTGTTTGATCCTCACAGCAAGACTCCAGGGCTAGCATGCTATCATTCTGACCTTATATTTTAGGTGACTGGGGCCTGGGCAGGAGAAACAGCTCATGCAAGTTCATCCCTCTAGGTCTTACCAAATGTTTGATCCACATTGGTCCTGATTCCCAAGCTGGTGCCTTTAGTCAGCTTGGGAATCAAGAAGGCACAGTAGCCAAGTTTCTTATCCATTCTCAGGTGTAGCTCTTATTCTCTGTCTCCATGTAGGACTTTGCCGTGATTATGCAGCGGACCTCACTCTGTGGGCAGCTGCATTGACATGACCATCTGCGTGTATGGCCCAACATGGATACTGTCCAGCATGGAAATCGTCATTGTCATATAAGATGCTGGGGAAGGTTTTTATATTAAGAACCACATGAAGCCAGGTGGATAGCTACAACAGGCTAATTCAATCTCAGTCCCTCTCCAGCAGAACAATCTGATTGAGATGAACTCCTGTCCTGTTTTACCTCAGGCTGTGGTCCTATAAAGATCTGAAGGCTCACTCTCTCTGAAGGACAGTGAAGCCATAATAAAAATAAATGATTTAAGTCAACCTGCTGCTTTTTATAGATGTGACTTGCACAGCTGTAATGTTCTGTTGAGCAGAGTGGAACACTGTCTATTAAAGATATTTTTTCCTAAGTTCTTATTCCATCCTTTAAAAGGGGCCAAAAATGTAGTATTCACATTGATCAGGAAACAGGGCTAACTTTTAACATGGTTCCACTGCTGAGTGACCTTGGTGATAACATACTGCAATTCAAGGAAAGTTAATAAATGTCTCACTGAGTAAGCATGTGCCTAAGTGGACATGGAAACCCTATCTACCTGCAGAAAGTAGAGTGATCAAAAGGGTTATGCAGCTAATCTAAGGTTTAACTAGTTCACAACTTAAAATTTCATCCTTACCTAAAGTGCTAACTAGCTGCTTCGATTCTTCATGGGCATAAAAACACATATTTTGTTTCTGACTGTCTGATTAACTGGTGACTATTTTTTTTTTTAGTAACCAATATACAAATATATACTTTATAACTGGACTGACACATTCTACATTCTCTGCCTTGAGTCTAACTGTATTATATGCATTACCACTGCAGAACATTTAGTGAGGACACAGAACTGAACTCATGTGTAGTCATCCAGCAACCAACATGACTGTAATAATGAATGCCACTCACTGGAACCTGCTGTCAAAAAGTCACCTTTGAAAAATTAAATATCCATTCTTGATTAATAAACCTCAGTAAAGTAGGACTAAGTTGATATTTTCTCATGTTACATAATTTGTAACATGAGAAAAGATTTTAATCTATAAAACTGAATGGAAAATAATACTATGGAAATTAATTTTAAAATCTCATTAAATCGAGATTATTCCCTTAAATACTATAGGATGAGAGATTAGCTCACCATTATCCTTTTAGATTATTCAGAGGGGTTATCAGACATGCCAGCAAAATGAAAGAGGATGTTTAAATTAGAAGCAACTAAAGCAACACATAGTGATTACCTACCTGGGACAAGTGTAAGAAGACGATGTCAGGTTGACAGGGATAATTTAACAGTGCTACTGGAGACTAAAGGGTCAGCAAAAGCAAAACTGCACTTAGGAGATTCAACAACACAGTTATAAATTTATCCTGAGTTACCCTATAGCTTTGAAAGCTGCCACAATTCCAAAATCATAACACAAGCACAGTGAAGATAATGCAACAGAGCAGACCAACAGGGACAGCTGTAAGGCACGCAACAAGTTTGAAGTTCTTACAATAATACGGTACTGGAGCAGGAGCATAGGTAGATGATGAGAACAGCTCAGAGAGTGTTGAAAAAGGACCAGTGTCTCTCACAGGGGTATTTCATATTGTTAAGGAGGCTATTGCATATCAGGGGAAAGTTAATTATTCAACAGGTGCCAGTTACAAAAATGGAAGGTCATCATAAAAATTTTCACCTCTCCTCATTCTTTGTAAAGAAAAAATATGTAAGATTTAATTATAAAAGAGAAATAAATATGAGGTAGAGGAAAACAGAGAGAATATTTTTCTAAAGTTTTGGCTCAGAGAAGATCTAATTATACAAGCTCTAGTGGTTTATTCAAAACTGGATAGATTCAGCTATTCAACGACAGCAGCATATCTTCAGGCTTCAAAGAATCACAGGTAAAGGCAAAGATGATGAGAAGCTGGGGGAAATGCCATCCCGTAGCATAAAATATTGGCTAATCTCCTTGACTGATAAACACCTGGTACACACTCATAAGAAAGTAGCCAACAACTCAGCTGAAGAACCATCAGACCACAGAAGCAGGTACATAAACAGGCTTCGTGGTTTACACTGTACTCAAGAACATATTTAGCACTACTCCTAATTTAAAAAGTGTGGTGCCACAGCTGGAAATGTAGCATGGTGGCGTGCTGTGGCTTAGCATGTGCAAGACTGGGGGCTCAATACCCAGCTCCACAGGAAGAAAACAAGACAGACAAAGCAAAACAAACAAACAAACAAAAAACAAAAAACCAGAAGTGATGCTATCTATCAAATCAATAAAAAGCTGTAACATTCCTTTGATACTTTGATAAGGCTTTGGAAAGCTGTTCTTTTTTTAACATTTATTTGCGTATATATAGACATGTGCTTGTCCCAAGATATATATGGGGCAGTCATACTTTGTGGGAGTCACTTCTCCTTTGATTCTGTGGATTTTGGGGCTTAGACGCAAGGCTTAAGGCATGGAGTTGAGTACCTTTGCCCACTGAACCAAATATCTGTCCCTAGAAACTACTTTTTAAGTATTGTTGGTTCCACAATATTATTTTGGAAGACAACATTGAAGTCAACATTACATATAGTACTGTCTTGGCAATTAAACTTCTAGAATTTATCTTACAGACACACTAAAAAATGTGCTAAGTATCACATGTGTGTGTCCTGTTTGAAAGAGAAAACATGTTCATTAATGGGAACTGGATAAATGATTATGACATAGGAAGGCAGTACAATGTCAGGCACTCATGAGCAATGAGAAGGCTGTTTGATTTTGTATTGGCATGAATTCATCTCCAAGATGAAGAAAGGTGCGGAGTTACATATGTTCTTATTTGGTTTTAAAGAGTGAATTTATTTATACAAGTGTATGTATTTAGACATGTGATTATATATGCAAGCATATGCATTTAGACATGCGTAAAATATTTCTAGAAAATACTCTCTGGAGTAGAAGTGGGGAGCCAGGACACATGAAAGGCAATCATTTTTCATTGCATTCCATTGTACAACAGTCATATTTTATACAGTGTATATATGCTCAAAAATGAACTGCTTAAAAAATACTTTTATTTTAAAAACAAAACTCTAATTCCCATTCCTCTTACTTTCCCAAGGAGGAAATCTTGGTTATTTTCCAGTCATGTTGTCACTATTAGTACCATCTAGGCTCCTGTCTATCTCCCCTTCTCCCTTCCTTCTGTATTTCCTTAAATAAACAACTGTTTTAAAAATGAGCAATGGGCAGAAGTATGGAATAAACCACCAACATCCTAAATGTCAGTATCAGTGAAACATCAGAATACAAACGTGTAAGGACTTTTTGAAAAACTGTACTGCAACAGTGTTTGTGGAATGGATTCAGTAGACATTGTTGATCTCACCCTGTTACTTGTGAGTTACAAAATTTATATCATAATATGTGTCATTTGCATTAAGTTTATAGAGCGATGCTTTTCTTAATGTACTACTCACCTGGTTCCTGTCCCTGGCATTTGCATATCGGAACCTCTGGATATAATAAAAGACGAGCCATGCGAGGGAAATGATCATCAGGACAATGAAGGAGATGGAGACAAACACAACCGAAGTGCGGCTCACATATTTTTGCAAGTTCCTGGTTCCGATGGTGATGTACATGGTTACAGTGATGTTCCTTTCCAGCAGGCTTACTATCTCCTTCCCTTTGGGCTCAGGAATCATTATAGCCACGATGTCTTCCACACCTGTGGTGAGAGGGGCGAGGAAGTGGGCAATGAGGGTTGGGTGAGGGGAAACAATCAGAGTGAAATGTTTGGGAGGGCACTGTCCAAGTGATAGCCAGGGCCATACCGCTCTATAAAATGCCATTGTTTTGACCAACAGTTCCACAAACTATAGTAATTTGGTCTCCAGAATAAAGATAACTTGTGTTTCTAGATTTGTGCCCTCCCTGTCATCATCACTGGCTGCAAATATGTGTTAAGGACTGCCATCAGCCACATGATATAGACTCTCCCCTTCCTGTGAAACTTTTAAGAAGGGTCCCAATGCCTCTCAAACCCCCTGCCACGCAGCTGTCTGTTCATGATGTCAATACTGCTTTTAATAAAGTTCTGTCGCTTCAAAGCACAGTCAACTCAATGTTTCCCTAGAACCTTAAATCTAAAGCCTTCTATTTTCAGAATCTTCTCCAAAGTTGAGTTACCTAACAATTGGAGCCTGAGTCTCATTTTGCCTTTCTTCAGCTCCTCAGAAATGCTGCTGTTACCCGCCCACACACACACCACACCATATACACAATACACACAAACCACATACCACATACACACCACACACACACCACACCACACCACACACACACACACTGCACACACATAATATAGACACACACCATATACTTACATCACACACCACACATACACAACTTACACACCACACACACACACCACACCATACACCACACACATACATCATACACTACACCACACACACCACACCACATACACACACCGAATACACATAACATACACACACACCACATACTTAATCACACACCACACATACACAACTTATACAACACACACACACACACACACACACACACACACACACGCAGCACTAAGTTGAAATCATGAGTTAGACATCAGGAAGGTCATGTCCAGGTTACTTTTCTACTCTCTAAGGTGTTGCCCCTGAATCTGGTCAAAGTGGACCACTTCGTATATTCACCTGAAGAGAACAAAAGGAGTTTCTGCTCTACAGCAAGAGGCCAGACACAGCTTCTGGCAGCTGCCTCACTGCTCCCTCTTTCCTTCTCACGTACTCTGTAAACTCTCAGGGTCAGATCTCTGAGTACCATTGTTAAAGAGAGTTTTCTCCAACAGTGAGTACCCAAGCAACCAAAGCCAGGGACTCTTGAAGAGCTCTGATAGGATGGGCTAACTGATATAATGGTCCCAGAGCTATTTTCTGCATAGTTTACCCAATCCAAAGGAAGCAGTTACGTGTCCTCATGCAAGCAAAGGGAAGATGAAGGTAGACGATCCTGGAACAATTGCCCTTCTCATGTATTTCCACCATGGTGTCATTATTTTTGCACAGTTGGAATACAGAGACCCCTTTCTTGGACCTCAGTTATATATGTCCTTGTCCCTATGTCTTGGCACTGAGTGAGGACCAGGTTTCAGTAAGGACCAAGAACTTACACACAGGGCCTTTTCATACGTGCAGGACACCAAATTCAAAGACCCCAACCCAACCCATCACTGTGGCTGACATATGGAAGAGAACCCCATAGCTGAATATGCAGGAAAAGCTGCAAGCTGAGTGGTACACACAGTCCCAATTCCAGGTAGGACATATCCCATTATTTGAGGTGATTAAACCAAATGGAACCCACTTGCTATTTAGGGAGTTGTAGATTCAGGAAAAAAATGAAGGCCAGCTGGTACAGGATCACTCAGCTAGGCTGAGCCAGATTATGTGTGTGTGTGTGTGGGGGGTAGTGGGGAATGGTTTTGCAGGTCTCTTTGACTTTAATCTCTAGTCTCAGTTTCAGTCTCTTATCCTTGACAGTGTATCTCATTCAGGCTGATTAAATACTTTATAACTCAACTGCCTTAGGACTATTTACTTGTTACTATAACCTATTTTCTTTCACATCATTAAAAAAAAACAGGTATGCACAAAGGAGACTAGCCATTGGTCATGTATTTTCAACATTCCCATAATTGTGTTGATATTAGAAGACCATCAAGCTATTCGCAGAGTGTTCAAGTTTTGTGGATGCCTATAAGAATTACTGAAACTGATGGCTTGAATTCTCACTTGGCTGGATGTAGCCATCATCCTGTAGCCCCTTCTCAAGCAGTGTTTATTCTGGCTAATGGCTTCCTGTGGTCTGGGGTTTGCAAGGGATTAAGGGCACTCCCAGGTTTTGACTCTAGGGAAATATGATCTGCTTTGTACTCTGGACTAATCCGGCCTGGGGGTGGGTTCATTCTAGGGCTGCAGCTATTTTAGAGACATATGAGTACTTGAGAGAGGGTCATGCTTTTCTATTTATTTCCTTGTTTATATTCTCTAGGCTTATTTAAAGCTCTAGATTAGATTTTTTTTTTTTTTGTAAAGACAGGATGTGGGGGTAAACTAAGAGGCTTTCTATGCTCAGACAGGCACACATTTTTATTTTAATAGTCAAATGAAGGCCCTCCTTAATTGCTTCCAGTTTTGATTGTCTGTTCAAAAGGTTTGTTTCCACTCAAGACCATGGAACTACTCATTTAAAAACAGCTTTCCTAAATCATATAGTTTTACCTTCCATATTTAAATCTTTAGCAACTCAATATAGCTTGTGGAGAAAACAGTATTTACTGAATTCTCTAAATGGATAAGCAGAGCGGACAGACCAGAGTGTGATTTAGTTTCCCCCTGAATTCTCAGCTTTATTTTCTATCTTGTGTTTTCTGTGAGGTTGACCTACTTTTTGCGGAACCTGCCCCAGGCTTTTAGTCTTAAAGCCTTTAACGTGTTTCCCACTCGGTGGCTCGAATGCCCGGCGTCTGCCTTCCTCCAACTCCACTTCCAGCCTACAGTTCTATTAGGAATTCACACTTGAGAGGCCATGCAGTGAAATCATTACGAGTTGCTCTCTGGAACCAGACATCGTGTTTTAATCCAGTGCAGCACTTTAAAAATAGGCACCGAAAGTTTTCGATAGCCGAGACTTTCTAAATTATTCATTATCTGCTTTCAGGGATCTGAGAAAACATTTTCTCTTTCTGCAGGGTAAGGTATAATTAACTATTTTAAACTGTTTGTTTTAAACCGAAGTGCCTAGTGGCTGCTTCTTGTCTGTACCACTGTGGGGACTTCAAGACACATGACATGCCCTGGAGAAAAGCACATAGGACAATGGGGTGGGTCTATTGCTCTGGACACATCTTATTCATTTGTATTTCTCTTTGCACTTTGGGCTGTACACTTTGTACAGTAAATTGCATTGGAATTTGAATCCACCCCAGTGGGAATAGTCACTAAACACTGGATGCATAGGGGCTCAAGAGATGACTCAGTGGCTAAGAGTATTTTCTGCTTTCTCAGAGGACCTGTTTTCAATTCCCAGAACCCACAAAAGAGCTCACAATTGCTTGTAACTCCAGTTCTAAAAGATCTGATTTTTTTCCTTTGTGGGTTCCTGAATGCACATGGTGCACATAAACTCATGCAGGTGTACACACACACACACACACACACACACACACACACACACACACACACACACGGATGTCTAAGGTATCCAAAAGAGCTAGTGTAGAGTTAGCTGCATTTGGATGAGTTATTCTGATTAGTGCAGAATGCAGGCCCAGAGGCTGCTTCAGGCCCTGAGTTGTTGACGGGAACAAGTGTACTTATGTGAGTAGTCACACTTTCCCCAGATCTTTACTTCATTCCAGATGTACACCTCGAACAGAAGTGTAGCCATGGGTGTGCAAGAGACAGGAAAGGAGAGAAATGGGAGCTGGTGGGGTGTGGCAGGGCTTGCTGAGAGATCACAAGAACAGTCTGGGGTTGGAGGCTGCTTTGTTTATGACACGCTAGGGACCCCCAGGCCTATGGCAGTGACATACACAGATAGCATATTTTGTATGGGTAAAACCCATGCTGACCAAGCTACTAGGGTAATTTTGTTTATCGTGACACCGAGGTACTTTCTGCTTTGGTAAAATGGCCCCAGTCTACCACCTATTTTCCTCTCAAACGTACTTCAGGCTGTGGAGTGGAGAGAGACTGCTGTTATGTAATAACTGTTCATCCCAGAAAATTTCTCCACTTAGAGACAATACTGTGTGATCAACACAGACACTCCCACTGCCACAAGCAGAAACACAATGTATTGTAGTGCTTTCTTTATCCATGACTGCATTCGGCAATCATAGTCTTATTTGATTTATGTGTGTACATCAGGAATCCCAAGCTTTCAAAGCCTGATGGTGTTGAATGATGAGAAAGCCTCTACTTAAACACTCAAGCCAGGCTGCTTAGTCACTGTGTTAGTGAAATCTCTGGAATACCAGCAGAGCACAAAGCGGTGTATGGAGCCCATCACACGTTCCTCTCTATGTCCCTTGGGTGATGTGACCATCTCTACACCTGCCTCTCTTCCCTAATCTAAGATTTAGTCTGTCTTAACTGTTAGCTCTCTAGGAGTTAGGAAATTAAGAAAAAACATTCACTGTTCATTTGTAAATGTTTTCTACTTATGCATTTAAAATAGTTCATTTAAAAATGTAGTCAGCTTCCGACTACTGTTAATCCTCAAGTGTGATATGTATGAGATGCTTTAATAACAGTAAAGTACCATGTAAATTGAAAGTTATTACTATTTTCTGTAGCAACAAACATTTCTAATATACACAGATGCTAAACTTCTAAATCAAGCTCTCCTAAATTGAATATAGCAGTACATTAAAACAATTTTCATACCTAAGTAGAATTTATTTAGAAAATGAGAATAACCTAATGTCAGAAAATATTGCAGAACGTTTTGGGACATTAACAAGTTTAAGTAATAAAGCATATGACTATCTTGCAGAACTTATTTGCCTGTATTTGGTCTGCTTTTCTTTCCAGTATTCCTATTTTCAACTGGACACAGACTGGTAGTCCAAATGCAAATACTAAGACTCTTTTGCAGCTAGATGTTGCTGCATGCTTACTATTCTGAGTTGTGGGTAGAAATGAT